AAACAAAACACAGACCTTTCACCATGGCATAGTAATGCCACGAGGTGTCTTTTTGTTTGTGAGTAACCCTTCAAAGATATGGTAGGGACTGTGTGTGTAGCTCAGTGGTAGAGCACTTGCCTAGCACACTTAAGGTCTTCCTACATCTGATCTGCTGCACTGGAACAAAAAAGTAAATAAAAAAATATAAATTAGACTCTAGTAACTTGAGAGTGGGAATGAAAACTGGCAAAACAAATCCATGAGAAAGAAAAGAGAAAACCTTCATGTTAAAATCAGGAACAAGACAAGGATGCCCATTATCACCACTCCTCTTCCATATAGTTCTAGAAACATTAGCCACAGCAATTAGACAAGAGAAAGAAATTAAAGCAATAAAGATAGGAAAGGAAGAAGTTAAACTGTCATTATTTGCTGACAATATGATACTCTACATTGAAGACCCAAAAAACTCCACCAAAAGACTTCTAGACTTAATTGACAGATTCAGTAGAGTATCTGGATACAAGGTGAATACCCAAAAATCAATAGCCTTCTTATACACAAATAACAGACTCACTGAGAGAGAAATAAGGGAAAAAAATCCTTTTACAATAGTATCCAATAAAATGAAGTATCTAGGAATCAGTCTAACAAAAGAAGCAAAAGATCTCTACACTGAAAACTATAGCACTCTGAAAATAGAAATTGAAGAGGATATAAAAAAATGGAAAGATATCCCCTGCTCCTGGGTAGGAAGAATCAACATAGTGAAAATGGCCATACTACCAAAACTTCTATTCCAACACTATATTTCACAGAACTAGAAAAAAGAATCCAAAAATTCATTTGGAACCAGAAGAGACCTAGAATAGCAAAAGCCATTTTAGGCAACAGACATATGGCAGCAGGTATAACAATTCCCAATTTGAAACTATTACTACTAAGCCACTGTGATAAAAACAGCATGGTACTGGCAAAGAAACAGGCCTGAGGATCAGTGGAACAGACTGGAAGACACAAAAACAAACCCAGATATACTCAGCTACCTCATCTTTGACAAAGGAGCTGACCATCCTCAGTGGAGGAAAGATACCTCTTTATTAAATGGTGTTGGAAAAACTGAATTTCAACCTGTAAAAGATTAAAACTAGACCCTTATCTTTCACCATGCACTAAATTAAAATCCAAATGGATTAAAGATCTAAATATTAAAACAGAAACATTAAACTTGCTGGAAGGTAAGTTAGGCAGAACTCTGGAAGACATTGGCATAGGAAAAGACTTTATGAACAAATCCTCAGTAGCACGGGAACTAGCAGATAGAATCAACAACTGGGATCTCATCTTATTAAAAAGCTTCTGTACTTCAAAAGAAACCATCAGCAGAACTAAGAGACAATCTACAATGTGGGAAAAAA